ATTGCAGCATTCCTAGATATCCTAAAAATAATTTGAAGAAATTTGAAAGACAATTTAATATATCAGTAATTTCATAAATTAGATTAAAAAAAAGAGAGATATTCATTACAAATTTGATTCATAAAGATTTTTTATATATTTGCAAAGATTTTTCTTTATTCACGAAATCCTTTTAATTCTAAGATATTTTTATTTATAAAGCTAAAGAAACAATTTTTATTTAAAATTGATAAAATTTACATCTGATAAGGAACTATTAAATAATTACACACCAATTTTAATAAGACTTATTTAGTAAAAATACTTTCACACAAACTGAAGAATAATGATGTCAATTTTATTGGCAATCATCAATATTAAAATAATAAAAGCAATATGTGAATAATAATTTGAATATCTAATTAGATATTATTGAGTTGTCCGGAAAGTTCGTGCTGATGTTGAAGGAAAATTGAAACGCAGAAAATTTAAATTTTAGTATACATTTATTAAATTATATAGGTTAATCGGCACGAACTTTCCGGACAACCCAATATATGATTCGTTGCGCATTTTATAACATGAATATAATTTTTTTTACAATAGCACACATAACAAGTGTTTATTAATTAAATACCATACAAATTTTTTTTTATAAACTACATTTTGTACAATAGCTATAAATTATAAATTAAGTATTAATTATAAATTAATTACCTTTTTATATTGACGCTCAACCCTCATTTTCAGTGTCAAAATAAGTTACATGATCAAAATTGACGATTAATATTCATCAATTTCTACATGACTTATTTTAACATCAAAAATAAGTGTCGAATGTCGACATGAAAAGGCACCTTTATAAATCTGGAGACACAGTAGTGTCTCGGCGCTAAGCCAAGCGCAACGACACTGCCATAGCTACCTTATATATTTGACATCGTCAAGTCAGAAAATTTAATCTCAATAAAACTCTGTGAGAAAAAAAAATTGTAGAAACAAGCGTAGACTGAAAAAAAAACTAAATCTTAATATATATTTATAAAATTGACATCATTATTCTTCAGTTTGTGTGAAAGTATTTTTACTAAATAAGTCTTATTAAAATTGGTGTGTAATTATTTAATAGTTCCTTGTCAAATGTAAATTTTATCATATCAATTTTAAATAAAAATTGTTTCTTTAGCTTTATAAATAAAAATATCTTAGAATTAAAAGGATTTCGTGAATAAAGAAAAATCTTTGCAAATATATTCTATAAAAAATCTTTATGAATCAAATTTGTAATGAATATCTCTCTTTTTTTTTATCTAATTTATGAAATTACTGATATATTAAATTGTCTACCAAATTTCTTCAAATTATTTTGAATAGTACTCTGAACGTATACTTACAATAAATAAATATTTACTTAATAAAAAATGATAATTTAAAATTAAATTAATAGCTTTTATATCAAATAAATACGAGTATATGTGTTATATTCAGTAAATATTTAGATACTTGTAACTATTAAATCGAATATTTATAAAAATTTAGTATTTTTTCAATGTAAACTGACCTCAAAAATTTTCCCTCAATTAAAAGGAGAATATTTCGCAAATCAATATTTATCAAATATTAACACTTGAAAATACTTCATTCTTAAGTTCTTCTTGTTTTGACGAGCCGTGCAATTTTTTTTGTATCTGCTCTAGCGTCCTGCCTTTGGTTTCAGGTATATAGAAAATTGTGAATAAAGCACCAGCAAGGCTGCACATGGTGAATATCCAGAATGGCGTATGCATACCGGTACTTTCGCTTACAACCAGATACAGACTCTCCACGACAAAGGCTGTGATATGGATTGTCATTATGCCTATCATAATGCCGAGAGCCTTTACGTTCATGGGAAACAATTCGCCGCCCATAGTGAAGGGTAACACCCCCAAACCCAGGCTAAACATGACTCTATATAAGATCACGCCAATGGCGGGCAACCATATTATATTGCTGGTATCCATGTGATAGTACTGAAGATGAAAGTATGTTGCAACCATAGCGGTAGAGCATGCAGAACCGATAGTGGAGATCATCAGCCATGATTTCCTGCCGCTACAATCGGTGATGAACATGCTGACGATCGCGCAAATTAGTTGCATGACGCCCAATATCATAGTCAAGTATTTACCCTCTAGATTACCATCCATCTCATCAAATATTAATTGAGCATACTGCATTACGGCTTGAGAACCGCTCAACTGTTGAACTAAGGCCAGGCACAGCAACGTTATTAGGGCTCTGCAATATTATTCGAGCAAATTTATCGATTAGATCGTTCTATTATCAAAGTATTTTAAAGTTGTTATAACTCTAAACATTATACGTATGTATATACAGGATGAACAAAAAATCCTGGACCCTTCAAAATCTTGAAAAATAAGCATTTTTGATAAAAGTTATAGGGTTTAAAAAGATCTATTTCGCGTCGGTTAGACACGTTGAGTAATGCTAATATCGGCGGTACTGAAACTTTCAACTTTATAACTTAAAAAGTATTTAATGGTAAATAATTTTATCATAGTGTTTTAAAAAGCTGACACCAACTATCAGATTCTGGCATCAAAAATAAGGTATGCTATTTAAAAAAATCGATTTGACGTGATCTTGGCGATGTCATTCAAACGGATGTGATCAATGAATAGATCTTTTTCTCTCTATAACTCTATAATCTTTGTCTAAAATATTTTTCTCAAAAATGCTTTTCAAGATATTTGATGGCTCCGAGACATTTTACACATCCCGTACACATACACACACAAGAAATTATTAGCAAAAAAAAAAACTTTTTAATGTTCTCCAACGATTACAATACAATTATACAATTATACAAACATAAAAATGATTTGTACACTTATTTGTAAATCTTTTTAAATCCAATATCTAATTTTTATTCGTGGTAACAGGAAATCTTTGAAAATTTTTGTGATACGTGAATTAAAATTTTATTAATTTATTTTGATAAAACAACAAACAGAAATTTGACTTCTTACCTGCGATTTCCTGGGATAAATAGGAGTTCATGGATACCAGCTTTATTAGCCAAATCGTCTTTTACAAATTGCTCAATACTGTCTGCCTCCTTATAAACATCCTCTTTGCCTCTTAATTGAACAAGAGAGTTTATGGCTTTTTGCTTGGTGTTGCAACGCATCAAGTGATATGGGGATTCCGGTAGCCAGATAAAAGTGACCAGAAACAGGCATGGTCCCACCAAAGAGACGAGGGCGAGATTTCTCACTGAAAGAAATGGACCTATTGTGAACTCGATCAAAATACCGAGTTTCCCAGCGACTGCCAGTATAGATCCCAAATTGCCGCGAATATCAGCCGGCGAAATCTCGCTCACATACATCGACGTGGACATAGAAATAATGCCCAGAGCTAGTCCGGATATAAACCTCGATATGTATAGCTCCTGTGAAACAGAGAAATGACAGAAAAATAAAAAGATTGAGAACAGAGAAAATCGATTTACTTCGAGGAACTTTATCTTCCGGATTCAAGAAGATAACATGATCTCTTTTTTTAATAGAATAATATATACACAGAAACTTATCATGTATATTTGTTTATATATGAAATTTGTAAGCATATATCTTTTTATACATATTTATTTATAAGCTTTGCTTATTTATTTGCTTTTATACAGTTTCCAAAGTCCATAATATAGCTTTTTTGTGGATTTAATTAAGAAATTGAAATAGGTATATAATAAAAACTCATATTTTCTAATATTGTCCAAATGAGAGATATAGTAGGTTTTTTTTTAAACAGCATTTAGAGTTTGTGTAATTATATATTTTGCATAATTATATACTTATTTTATAATATCAATTGATTCTCTAGAAATTTTTCTTACAGTGGAATCAAACGCTGTAATCATGTAAAGTGCAAGCTAATTATTATTATAATTGTAAAAATAATTTTCAAGTAATTTTCGCGTTAGAATTACAGCGTGTAATAAAGTATGAAACTTAAACTGAAAGTCGCGAGATATTCAAAGAGATTCGAGAAATGTAGATTATATTGTAAAAAAACGCTGATTCAACATTGATCGATCAAATTCTTTCTAGTTGAATTATGATCCAATATAGAACTGAAATCTCACGAATATTTTAAATTTTAACTTTCAATGTTTTTATATATCCAACATATCATTTTGTAAAAAGTACTTGAATATACTTAATGAATATTGCATATTAAATTATTACCCACGATGATGTTGCGAAGACTATTAACAACCAGGCAATTATTGAGGGTACAACCGTAAATAACATGGTGTTCTTCCTGCCGATAATATTCACAATCAATGCAGAAATAACGCTACCTGCGGCGGCACCAATACTAAGTAAAGCTGTCACCCAAGAGGCTTCTTTTAAGTTTAAACGTACAGGATATTCAGCATCACCACCATGTAGCAATAAAGGTAAAGATGGCGATGCCCAACCGACAAAGAAGGCCACTGACAGCATACCTAAATTTCCTATTAAAATAATAGGGTTTAAACAAGCTTTAATATATATCACATGTTTTATTAATTAGATAAAAGAAGACAATTTTACAAAGAATCTCAAGCATCCTGATGAAAATAAAAATCAAAGCGTAAGTCGAATCGTGTGTAATCGGAAAATAACAGAAGCATAAATGAAATTTCTAGAAAAAAAAAAAAATTGAAACATCAAAATATAAAAGAAGTGTAAATGCTTTTTTTATGTTTCATTGTTTCAATTTTCGTCTCCTAGAAGTTTCATTTACGCTTCTGTTACTCTCCCATTATATTCGATTTATGCTCCGATTTTTATTTTCATTCAATCAAAATTAATCAATTAGCAAACAAATTGAATAGGAATATTTAAATAAAAATAATTTAAATAAATTTCAATTATGAAAAAACGCTTAATTTATTTTACATAATAATTAAATAAATATTCAGCACAATTCTGAGATATCTTTCTATTCTATAATAATCCCAATATATACATACCTGCTATAGCAGCGAGATATAATTTCTTCATGTTTTCTATACTATAATCACCTATCGTGTACAAATATTAAATGAATGAATTTGTAACGATGAATACAGTATTCTTATCCAAGTGATGCAGATAATAAAATATCAATTTCATCTAAAGCATTTCAAGAGGTAGATATAAAATTATAATCGTCAGACGATATGTAAAAAGAGGAATATTAATATTCTAAAATTTTTGAAACGTTTTATAAAGTAATCAGAAAAACACTTTATAACATCTACTTAAAAAAGATATTTTTTTAAACGTTTATGTCTGAATATTTGGAAAATTTTTACATAATCTTAATTATCAAATATCGTGTTATGTATAATTCGAATTTATACCTTAAATATCTTATATGTTATACGTACGTAGTTTTTATTGCAAAATACTAATAAAAACATTATTGTATCTGTATTGACAAAAGCATTATGCAAGGTGGTCAAAAAAAATGGTACCAAATTTTAAGAATACGTAGTAATCGTGAAAACAAATCGAAAAATCTTAATAAGTAGAAATCCAAAAACTACCAAGAAAAAA